GGTTCAACATATGCAAATCAATAAATGTGTTTCATTACATAACCAGAAGCAAAAACAAAGACCATATGATCATCTCGATAGATGTAGAAATAAAATCCAGCACCCTTTCATGTTGAAAATCCTTAACAAACTACGTATAGAAGGAACATACCTCAAAACTATAGAAGCCATATAGACAAACTGACAGCCAACATTATACCAAATGGGGAAAAGTTGAAAGAATTTCCCCCTAAGAACTGTAACAAGATAAGGGTGCTCACTATTACCACTTCTATTCAACATAGTACTAGAAGTCCTAGCCAGAACAATCAAGCAAGAAAAAGAAATAAAGGGCATCCTAATCAGGAAATATGAGGTCAAACTATACCCGTTTGCCAACAATATGATCTTGTACCTAGAGAACTCTAAAGACTCTACCAAGACTCCTAGTGATAAATAAATTCAGCAAAGTCTCAGGTTACAAAATCAATGTACACAAATCAGTCAAGCTGAGTCAAATCAAGGACTCAATAACATTTACAACAGCTATGAAGAAAACAAAATACTTAGGAATATATTTGACCAAGGAGGTGAAAGATTTCTACAAGGAGCACTACAAAACACTGATGAAAGAAATTGTAGGTGACACAAACAAATAGAAAAACATCCCACGTTCATGGATTTGTAGAATCAACATTGTCAAAATGTCCATTCTGCCCAAAGCAATTTAAAGATTCAACGCAATTCCTACCAAAATACCAACATCTTACTTTACAGATCTAAAAAAATAACCCTGAGCTTCATTTGCAACCAAAAAAGAGCCCAAATAGCCAAAACAGTCTTAAGCAAAAAGAACAAATCTGGAGGCATCACGTTACCTGACTTCAAATTATACTACAAGGCTATATAGTAAGCTATAGTATATAGCATGGTACTGGTATAAAAGTAGAAACATAGACCAATGAAACAGAATAGAGAGCCCAGAAATAAAACCATATGGCTACAACCAACTGATCTTTGACAAAACGGACAAACACATACACTAAAGAAAGGATGCCCTATTCAATAAATGGTGATGGGAAAACTGGATAGCCAAATGCAGAAGAATGAAACAGGATCCCATCTCTCACCACATACAAAAATTAATTCAAGATGGATTAAAGACTTAAATGTAAGGCATGAAGCCCCAAAAATTCTAGAAGAAAATGTAGGAAAAACTCTTCTAGGCATAGGTCTGGGTAAAGAATTGATAACTAAGACCCCAAAGGCAAATACAACAGCAACAAAAATAAATAAATGTGACTTCATTAAATTAAGATGCTTCTGCACAGCAAAGGAAATGATTAACAGAGTAAATAGACAACCTACGGAATGGGAGAAAATATTCGTAAATTACACATCTGACAAGGGACTAACACCCAGAATCTACAAAGAACTCAAACAAAACAGCAAGAAAAAACAAACCCCAGCAAAATACGTGAACAGAATTTTTTCAAAAGAAGATAGACAAATGGCCAACAGACGTATGAAAACATGTTCACTATCACGAATTCTCAGAGAAATACAAATTAAAACCACAATGAGATACCATCTTAATCCTGTCAGAATGGCCATCATTAAAAAGTTAAAAAACAACAGATACTGGCATGGATGCAGAGAAAAAGATATACTTATACACTGTGGGACTGCAATTTAGTACAACCTCTATGTAAAATAGTATGGAGATTCCTCAAAGAGCTAAAAGTAGACCTACCATTAGATCTAGCAATCCCACTACTGGGTATCTACCCAAAGGAAAAGAAATCATTCTGTCAAAAAAACACCTGCACTTGAATGTTTATCACAGTACAATTCACAATTTCAAAGATATGGAATCTACCTAAGTGCCCATCAATTCATGATTAGATAAGGAAAATGTAGCGTGTGTGTGTGTGGAGTACTATTCAGCCATGAAAAAGGAATGAAATAATGTCATTTGCAGCAGCTTTGATGGAACTGGACACCATTATCATAAGTATCTCAGGAATGGAAAAACAAACACCACTTGTTCACACTGATAAGTAGGAGCTAAACGATGGGTGCACATGGGCCCAAAAAGATGTAAAGTACATTGGAAACTAAGAAGGGGGTGAGGGATAAAAAGTACCTATTGAGTATAATGAACACTGTCCTGGTGGCAGGCACACTGAAAGCCCTGACTTCAGCATTATAGAGTGTATTCATGTAACAAAAACTTCTGTACCCCCCTAATATTTTGAAATTTAAAAAATAAAATAAATAAATAAAAATATAATTGTTGGCAAGGACATGAAGGAATTGGAACCCCCGTATACTGTTAGTGAAAATGCAAAATGGTACAGCTACTGTGGAAAACAGTAAGAAAGTTCCTCAAAAAATTAAAAATAGAACTACCATATGATCCTACTTCTGGATATATATCTAAAAGAGTTGAAATCAGGATCTCAAAGAAATGTCTGTATTCCCATGTTCATTGTAGCATTACTCACAAAAGCAAAGACGTGGAAAACAATTCAACTATCCAGCAACATATGAATGGCTAAAGAAAATATGGTAGGCACATACAATGGAATATTATTTAGCCATCAAAAAGAAGGAAATCCTGCCCTTTGGGACAATATGGATAAATTTGGATGACATTATTCAAAGTGAAATAAGCCAGAAACAGAACAAATACTGCCTGATAGTATTTATATGAGCTATCTATAATAGTCAAACTCATAGAAGCAGAGAATACAACAGTGGTTGCCAGGGGTTGGGGGGTAGAAAAAATGGGGAGTTTTTGTTCAATGGATATAAAGTTTCAGCTATGCCAGATGAGTAAGTTCTAGAGATCTGCTATAGAAGAGTGCTGATAGTTAACAACACAGTATTATGCACTTCAATATTCGTTAAGAGGGTAGGTAGATTTCATGTTAAGTGTTCTTACCACAAACGCGCACACCCAAAACAAAGGGACACAAGGAAATTTGTGTAGATATTGGATATGTCTACTACCTTGATTCTGATGATGGTATTAGAGGTACTTGCGTATGACCAAACTCATCAAATTGTACACATTAAATATGTACAGTTCTTTGTATAGAAATTATACCTCAATAAAGCTGTTTAAAACAAAAAACTAGTAACTACAGAAAGTTGGTAGGAAAGAGGGAAGTAAACCAATGATAGCCACTTCTCCCGTGCTGCTGATTTCTAAGAGAAGAACCTGCTTATAAAAATGTAATCACTACCACACAACTCGGCAATCACACTCCTGAGCATTTATCCCAGAGAAATGAAAATTTATGTTCATATTCAAACCTGTCCACAAATGTTTATAGTAGCTATATTCTTAATAGCCAAAAACTGGAAACAACCCAAATGTCCTTCAATGGATGACTAGTTAAACAAACTGTGATTGGCGTAGACTGAACTGTGTCCCCTCAAAATTCCTTTGTTGAACCCCTACTCCCCAATGTGACTAGACTTGGAGATACAAGCCATAAGGAGGTAATAAAGGCTAAAGGGGGACATACGTGTCGGGTCTTAACCTAAATAGGACTGGTGTCCTTGTAAGAAGAGGACGAGACCCCAGAGGTCTCTCTCTCTCCACAGGAGCACAGAGAAAAGGCCATGTGAGAACACAGCAAGAAGGTGGTCATCTACAGGGCAGGAAGAAAGGCCTCCCAGAAACTAATTCTGATGGCATGTTGACCTTACTTAGTCTTTTAGCCTTCACAATGGTGAGAAAGTAAATCTCTGTTGATTAAGCTGCCTGGTCTATGGTACTTTGTTATGGCAGCCCTGGCTACAGTGGTACATCCAAACCGTGGAATACTACCTAGCAGTAAGAAGGAACACATTATTAATACACAAAACTTGGTTGAATCTCTAGGGAATTATACTGGGTGAAAAAAAGCCAACCCCAAAAGGTTATATACTCTATGACACTGTTTATATAACATTTTTGAAATGACAACATCATAAAGATATGGAAAACACAAGGGTGGTTAGCCAGGGACTAAGCCGGAGGTGGAGGCAGTTAGGAAGTGGGTGAGGTTGTAAAAGGGCAACATGAGGGGTCCTGTGGGAATGGAACTGTTCTGGATCTTAACTGTATCGTGCTGTTATCCTTGTTATGCTATCGTACTACACTTTTGCAAGATACTATTGCACAAAACGAGGAAAAGAACACATGGAGTCTATTTTGTCTTTTATAACTGCATGTGAATCTACAATTATCTCAAAATACGAAGTTTAATTTTTTAAAGAAAGCATGATCAACGCTAAGCCCCAGGATGCACAGCGCTGCACTGAACTTTTCCTCACCTCCTCTCCCCTTTCTCCACTCCACAACTGACCTCACCAAGCACTTGAGCCTCAGCCACCACAGCCAACGAGTGCTATCCTTCAGCCCAAAAGGAGCGTGAGCAGGAAAATGAAAAGGGGAAATAAAAGTGTCATTGCCCTCCCATATGCCACCTCCCTCCTTCCCCTCACATACATACTGTCCATCCCATCACCCACTCACAGTATAGGAGACAAGCGCACTTGAAGCTTTTAAATTAACGAACATTAACATCCACTAGAAAGGCAGTACAGTTCACTGCAAAGAACGTGGGTCTTGAATCCAAACCATCCCAGACTCTGCTCCAAGCTCTGCTCTTTGCCATCTTATTCCTTGTGTAACCTCACACGGGTGCTTTAACCTCCCTGGGCCTCAGTTTCTTCAAATGTAAAAATTTAACTCACATCACTTTCTTGTTGTGAGGATTAAATGAGGTAATCAAATCAAGAGAACCTAGCATCACGCCTAGAACAAAAAGAGCTAGAAAACTTCATTTCCTTCCTCCATATCTGCTAAAGGATTTCCCACATGACTCCTGCTTTATGTTCCCTCCTTTTAATCAGAACTACAACACAGCAGGACCCTTTGAAATACCCCCTTAAAGAGTTTTTCTCCTAAAGCTCAGTTCCTCCTTATCACACACCTATTTCAAAAATAAAGGTAAAGTGATTACCTGTAGCAGCTAACGCATGCCTCAGTCCAGCAGCAATACAAACAACCTTCTCTCTCAGGAGCTGTCAAAATAAAGAAAAGGATTTAGATCTCAGAGTCATTCATCTACAAAATTTTATTCAATTTATGCCCAAATACAGTGCAGCATGATCCTCATCATGTGTCTGACTGGTTCAAAACACCCACCCCCAATATTTCTACCCATAAATACCTCTATATATATCCCCAAAAGAAAAAAAGCCTTTTTAAAATGCCATATCATGGCCAGGTGTAGTGGCTCACATCTGTAATCCCAGCACTTTGGGAGGCCAAGGCAGGAGAATCACTTGAAACCAGGAGTTTGAGACCAGCCTGGGCAACAAGCAAGACTTCATCTCTTCAAAAAAAAAAAAATTACTCGGCCGTGATGGTGCACACCTGCAGTCCCAGCTACTCAGGAGGCTCAAGTGGGAGGATCACCTGAACCCAGCCTGGGTGACAGAGAGAGACCCTATCTCTAAAATAAGTAAATAAATAAAATAAAAATGCCATATCACAGTTCCATGTCACAATGCCTCTCAAGGATAGGAGGGACATTCAAGATCATCTAGTCCAAGGGTTAGTAAATGTTTCCTATAAAGGGTCAGATAGTAAATATTTTAGACTTTATAGGCCATACAGTTTCTGTCACACTCCTCAGCTCTGTCATTGTAACAGAAAAGCAGCTCTAGACTATATATAAATGAATGAGCATGGCTGTTTGCCAATAAGACTTTATTTCCTAAGGGCTCTAATTTTCCCACTCTAATCCAGTCCAATCCCTATCCAATGCTAGAAACTCCTCCATAACACCCCACCAGGTGGTCATCCAATTCCTGCCAAACACCTCTAGCGACACAGGCTCCCCACCTCCCCAGGAGCCTGTTCCATCTTCGCACAGTTCCATTTATCTCTTTAGGTGGAGCCAAACCTATCTGCCTGTAGCTTCTGACAATGCTTTCCAAATATTTGAAGACAGTTGTCATGTCCTCTCTAAGACATTTTGTGGTGGTTATAAAAATAGGCCCTCAAATTCTTTGATACTCTTCCTTTCAAGATGTGGAGCTTAATTCCCCTCCCCTTGTGTGGGCTGGACTTAGTGACATGCTTCTAATGAAAAGAATAAGGAAGCAATAAGTGACTCAGAGACTAGGTGATAAAAGGCACTGAGGCTTCCCGCTTGGCATATCTCACTCTCTGGAATTACCCTCGAGGGATGCCAGATGCCATGTCTGAACAGTCCTATAGACAGGCCCACATGGCAAGGAACTGAAGCCTCCTGCCAATAGCCACAGGAGAGAGCCTGGAAATGCATCCACCAGCCCAGCAGAGCCTTCAGAGACTGCATGCAGACCCAGCTGACATCTTGACTGCAACCTCACAAGAGACCACCTAACCTGTTCCTAGATTCCTGGCCCTGAGAAACTGTGAGATAATAAATGTTTGCTGTTTTAAGCTGCTGTTTTGGAGTGATTTGTTACACAGCAATAGGTAACAAATACAGATCTCTTCTTTAGGCAGAATATCCCTAGTTCCATCAGCTATCACAGGGCTTTAAATCCTCTCTCCCTCCTGATTTCTCTCTTCTACATACACTCTGGTGGTTCCATCTCTCTTTTAAAGGGACTGTATATGCATCAATCACAGCCCCTATGGGGCTTTTCCACATTTGCTTATTTACAGGTCTACGGTGTCTTTCGAAAAAACTTTAGGACCCTCAAGGTCAAGGCCTGAGTCTTATTTACCTTTATGCCCAAGGCCTAAGCACCAAATCTACAACAAAACACAACACCCCAGATGCAGTCTGACCGGTACAAAGCACAGAGCTCTGGTCTTCCTTCTGGAGACTATACTTCTGTCAATGGAGTCCACAATCACATTAGCTATTGGGAAGATCAAATCTTACTCCTAATACAATTGGAACACACTGTCCTTTAAATTTTCATCTTTCTTTTTTCCCCCAACATTTACTGAAGGGCTTTACATGTAGCCTCAATCTCTTCAATACCACTCATCTCCATCTTTCTCTCCATCCCCACTGCCACTGCTTTAGTTTGGCCCATGATCATCTCCTGTCTGGATTGTTAGCAAGAGGTTCGTAGGTAATCTTCCTTCAATCCATCCCCCACGCTATCCTATCTGGCTGGGCCCACCCTACCACGCTGTTCTCATCATTTGTCATATACCACCACCTTGGTTGCCCCTCCCCATCCACTCTACCCTGGCACTCCCACCTCTTCCTCATATTCCAACATACTAAACTGCTTACAGTATCCCAAAGCCCCCAGTTTTATGCTTCTATACCTTTGCTTAAACAGTTCCTTCTGCCTAGAATGCCCTTCTTTTGTACCTACTCTGCATCCTCCTGTCCCAAGCCAGGTAAACTTCTACTTAAAATTTAGCTTAAGCCTGTTCTCACTCCACCTTCCTCTAGGTAAGAGTTCAGTATGCCTTCCTTTGGGGACATACATGTATCTGTCATAGTTCTAACATGGTATTACTGCATTTAGTTATTTATGTATCTATCATGTACTACTAAACTATAAGACTCTCAGATGCTAGGACATGTCTCATTCACCTTTGTTCCCACTGCCTGAAAACAATGCCTAAGTACCAAATCCACAGCAGAACACGCAACAGTTGCCATTAAATAAATCAATGGATTTTTATCATATTTCATTTTAGCACATTCCTCCTATTATTCCATAGAATACAGCCTGTCAAAATGTTTTTACTTTCTGCTTCTGTCATCCAACATATTTTAACCTCTGTTCGTCTTCTTTAATTATATGAATTATAATTAAGCTAAATTAATTATAACTTATACGTAGGTTCTTACAAGGCCATCTATTTGCAATTAGGATCTATAACATCTCCTACAGGGACTACAGAGCCTAGGCTTGTGTACATACCATAGGAACCATTACCCTAAATAACACCCCACAGACCAGCAACCAAGTTCTGCAAAATGACAGGAGCAGATAGATCTAAGCTCTCTCCAACAAAAACAGATCTCCCACTCTTAATCAGAGTTCAAGGAAAATAGGAGTGTGGCAGCTTGGGTGGTGAAACTCATTTTAGATTCCAGCATATTTTCTTTAAAATTCCATATTTCCATTATGATCACTTAAAATATAAACTTCATAAAAAGGTGTACATTCTAAGTATGATGCGGTGAAAAGAACTCTGAGCTAGGGCAGAGAGTTTAACACTTATTCCGTCCAATATGGTTACCACTAGCTACACACGGCCACTGAACTTGAAATGTGATTAGACTAAATTAAGATATATTGTAAGTAAAAAATGCACAAAAGATTTCAAAGATTTATTAAAAAATAAAGAATATAAAATACCTTATTAACAAATTTTATATGGATGACATGTTGAAATGATAATAGTTTGGATATACTAGTTTAATTAAAAAGTTATTAAAATTAATTGCACCCACATGCTACAAAATAGATAAAACTAAAAAGCATCAGGTGAAGTGAAAAAAGCTAGGTCACATATTATATGGTTCCATTTATATGAAACGCCCAGAACAGGCAAATCTATAGAGACAGAAATTAGATTAGTAGTCACCAGGGGACAGGGGAGGGGAAAATAAGAAGTGACTGCTATTGGATATACGGGTTCTTTTGGAGGTGATGAAAATGCTCTAAAATTACATAGTGGTGATACCTGCTCATCTCTGTGAATATACTAAAACCCCTGAACTATACATTTTAAAAGGGCGAATTTTATGGTACCTGAATTATATCTCAATGAAGTCATTGTTCTAAAAATTAATTCCACTTGTCCTTTTTTAAATGGGGCTACTAGAAAATTTTAAATTACATGTGGCTCACATTATATTTCTTTTAGACAGCACTAGCCTTGCTAAGTATCTTTCGGCAAGTCACTTGTATCTGGACCTGTTTCTAACAAAGTTCCCACCATTACTAATTTTAGAACTAAAATGTCATTAATGTCCTTATAAGATGTATTACCTTTATGGGTGTATTTCACAAAACTTTATAATGTGTATGAGGACTAACAGAGGTTTTTCACTCACAACATCCATCTCCCCCCGCAACCTAATTTTTCCCAGAAGGATCTATTTTTCAACTCAAAGTCTCCTACCCCATAAGTTTTCAGAGACTCAGCCACCCTTTTATTCTGGGGAAGGATAACTGTGATACCCTTTACTGTAAAACACTTTAACAGAACATGGGCAAGCTAAATATTAGCTGTCCTCACTCACCTCAATGGCCTGGGGAACCACACATCTTCGAGGTCCATGAGGAACTCCTAACTGGCCAAAGGAGTTGGATCCACATGATAGAACTTGGCCATTTTCTGCAAAAACAAGTATCTAAATTGCAAATCTATAAAGTAGATACCTGTGACCAATGGGCAAATGCTGAAGGGCAAGAGGAGCAAAGGGAATGAGAGGAGGTGGTGGAGATCCCAGGCTTCAGCGCACTCAGACTACATTCCCTGCTTTTATTCCTCCAGAAACAAAAACACTGGGCACCAAGCTAAGTGCTCTACACAGATATCTATTCTATTATCTCACTAAAGACAGATTATCTGTGTGGAACACTTAGCCCAGGGCCTAGTGTTGGGATAGGGGAACACTTATTCCCCATCTTTCATGTTTCCATGTGACAGAACTGCCATTCCTATAACATTCCTGCCTTTCTCCCTGCCCTTCTCCATACTCACTGCATTCTAGGGGACAACAGGTCACCTAACCAACTAGTGAGTTTGGGAGAGGGGACAGGGTATGTGTGGCTTGGCACCTTCCTTTCACGCGTTCTGGGCTGACACACAGTAAGGGTTTCCTCTGAGGGGAAGGCCTAGAGTTTTGGGGGTAAGTTTGGACCAGAACCACTTGGCCTCATAATTAACCCTGTTCTCCAACTTAGCCTTTTTCAGTAAAAAGCTGACAGTTTGCTCTCCAATTGTGACTGCTCTATGCCTTTTTCACAACTGGTTCCAAATGTGAGCAGGAAACAGTATTATCTACTGACTCCCTACAACCCCAACACAGGCCTACAGTAAGTACTTCATAAATCATGGCTATTATCTGGATTCTAATAATTACTATAAAATCCCACACATATTATGGAACTCCTCCACAGAAGAGAATGGTACACTTGAGCAGGGTTTTAAAGATGGGATAAGAGTTCATCAGATAGGCCAGGCATGGTAACTCATACCTGTAGTCCTAGCACTTTGGGAGGCCAAGGTGGGAGGATGGCTTGAGGTCAGGAATGCGAGACCAGCCTGAGCAAGAGCGAGACCCTGTCTCCTCAAAAAATAGAAAAATTAGCCAGGTGTGGTGGCGCACGCCTGCAGTCCCAGCTACTCAGGAGGCTGAGACAGGAGGATCACTTGAGCCCAGGAGTTTGAGAGTGCTGTGAGCTATGATGACATCACTGCACTCCAGCCTGGTCAACAGAGGGAGACCCTGTCTCAAAAAAAGAGTTCATCAAATAAACAAGAGGGGCTAGCCCAGACACAGAGAAGAACATGTACTATGTGGTACTATCAGAAAAAAAAGTGTAAGGAGTGTAGAGAATAAGAGACAGGTAACAGAGACAGGTAGGGAAGAGTTATAGAAGGCCATGTGCTAAAAATGACCAGCTAGACAGGGCAAGGTGGGACAGAGAGGTCAAAAATGCTTCAAGGGAATGGAAGTCAGCTGACCAAGTAACTACTGCCAGCTGTTCCCAAGAGCATTGTTCTATTAACCCTTTGACCACATCCTTCTACATCCTATTCTGCTACCTGGCTTCACAGAGACCAAACAATTCCGCCCAACCCCATTTATTTAAAAAAAAAAAAAAAAAATCCCTGAGTGGGAAAAAGCTGACATCACTGCTGTGGCAACCTCTATTTCCTCCTACTTCCCCACCACATTCCCTTACCTGCCACAGCTGGCCAGCTAGCCCAAGCACACAGCTTATCATGAACTTTGGGACAGGAAGTGGCCACCAAAGGTGATCTAGTCCATTCCCTGGTCTCTGGAAAAAGTTTTCCATCCCAATACCAATCTCCTTTACTGTTAAAACTCTCCTTGTAGACAGGAAATTACTTAACAGGTACATGTACACTATTCAGGTGATGGCTACACTAAAAGCCCAGACTTCACCACAAGGCAAAATATATCCTAGTAACAAAACTGCATTTGTACCGCCTAAATCTATAAAATTTTTTTAAAAAGGAAAAAAAAGGAAAAAAAACTCTCCTTGTAAAAGGCACCCCACAACTTTCCTTAACAACCAGAGAAAACATTTATGTTTTTTAAACACAAAGATCCTTTCATTTAATCAGTGGTCCCCACCATCATCCTGTTCTCACCCAAAGCCTTTATGGTGGCACAGATTTACCTAGGAGTAAACTTACCTGTGAGTATAATGGTAAAATCCCAGCCACAGGCCACCTGTTGGATGGGACAGCCCAGGAGGGATTTGCAGGGGGTAAAATACAGGACATCTTCTGTGTGACCAAGCCCCAGTTGCCCATCTTTGTTCAGGCCACAAACAAAAAGGCCTCCTCCATCTGTAAAACATAAAGTCTTCGATGACAGTATGCACAGGGCACAACACAACTGCCAAAGTGAACAAAAAGATTTCATTAATTATTTGGAGTCACAGACCAATAACTTTTATTCCCACCCAAGTTAATAAGCCACATATGCTAATGTGTTCTGGAGCCAAATGACATAGGGCCAAGGGCCTCAAATCTAATACCTAACTGGAAACTCCAAGTCCTAGAGCAGCAACCAATCAATCACCAAGTTGAGCATCTACTGTAACAAGAAAAGCCAATGTTTATTCAACATTTAGAAGGTGCCAAGCTTTACATGTGGGGGCGACTTATCCTTTAGGCACAGTGTCTATGTCCACAATACTTTTAGAGATCCACAGAATGGCTTAATTTTAAATTCTCTTAAAACGAGAAAAAGGCCGGGCATGGTGGCTCACACCTGTAATCCTAGCACTCTGGGAGGCCGAGGCGGGCAGATTGTTTGAGCTCAGGAGTTCGAGACCAGCCTGAGCAAGAGCGAGATCCCGTCTCTACTAAAAAAAAAAAAAAAAAAAATAGAAAGAAATTATCTGGACAGCTAAAAATATATAGAAAAAATTAGCCAGGCATGGTGGTGCATGCCGGTAGTCCCAGCTACTCGGGAGGCTGAGGCAGGAGGATCGCTTGAGCCCAGGAGTTTGAGGTTGCTGTGAGCTAGGCTAACACCACGGCACTCATTCTAGCCAGGGCAACAGAGTGAGACTCTGTCTCCAAAAAAAAAAAAAAAAAAAAAAAAACCGAGAAAAAATAATGTAGTAACAGTGCATGTATAATACTAAATCCAGCCTGGACTATATTCACCTTTATACCAATACAGTTGTAAAATATAATTTTTAATCTTTCTTTATGGAAAAAGAAGTCCATAAAGGCAAAAGCACCAAGGTCCCATGCAAGTCATAATGCACCCGTTAACTCGCTGGTTCTCCTCATCCACCACATTATCCCCATGTACAGGGAGGAGGCTATGGCACAGGGAGATTATTTGCCCAAGGCCACATAGTTAGTAAGTCACAGAACCAGGATTTGAACCCAAGCATTTTGATTCCAGAGCTCATGTGCTTAACCAGATGCAGTATACCTTCCTTTGCAGTATCATATCACTTGTAGTACTTGTTAAATACCATCCTAGGTACTGTGATGGAAGATTAGGAAAATGCAAGGTTCTTGCTCTCAAGGAATATTCAATCTAACTGCAAAGACTTCTAACTCATATGCAAAAGTTAGATAGCAATATATGGTATAAAATGTGATCTGTGTTGTAACTCTGCCACTAATTTGCCTTGTGACCTTAAGCAATCAGTGTTCCTTTCTGAGCCTCATTTGTATAATGAAGGGGAAGGAGGGATGGCCTAGAAGATCTCTGAAGTCCCAGCTCTGTCAATCTAGGATCCTCTGACGGTAATTTGGCTCTTTCAAAAAGATATTTTCCTCCGTGAAATACAAAAGGCTAAAAGATGGCAATATAACATCCCTAGGTGGGAGAAATGTCTAAATAAGAAAATAAGTGGTTATCTACTTTTGGAAGAAGTTACCTGTCACAATTGCAGAGTGGCCCCCTCCTCCCGTGATCCTCCTGACACCCATGGGTTTACAGAAGTCATTCAGTTGCTGGGGCAAAAGCACATCTTCCTTATGGCCAAGGCCAAGTTGCCCATAGCTATTTGCACCCTAGGGATAAAACAAGCCAAAGATGAAAAAGTGTGGGAACCACAGCTGTCAATATCTATTTACCTGTCCCTACCTTCCCTACCCTGAAATACCTCTCAGAGCCTGTAACACATGAGATGTCATAGGCTCATTCATAAGAGGTTATTATGTGTAATTTCTATTAAGATGGTGGCCCCATATTCACACCATGAGAAGAGCCCTTAGCATCCACAACTTATCCAATGATATTCCTCATCTTTCCCTTCTAATGCTCCAGCTGCAGTGTATTACCTTTGGGAGACAGCATAGAAATTCTTTCTGACAAAAACTATCTAGGGAGGCTAAAGAAAGAAAAAATGAGGGGAACTGCTAACAAAATGGGCAGGAAACACCCTAAAACTAGTTCTTGTCCCTTTTCCCCACACCCTCACTGGGCAAACTGGCAATGACTTTCTATAATCAAAGTTAGCTAAGGATCTTGTGACCTAAAGCATCATTATTTCATTTCTGCGGTGAAAGAGGTTGGCAATGATCTCTAAGGGCCTTCCCTGGTATAATATTTCATGACTCCAAGATTCACATGGTGAGATTTCTGTAAGGGAACAGATTTCCCCTTGATAGGCAATATGTCTATTATTGTTATTATACAATAAAGGTCCATAATCTCCAATCTGAAACCCTTACAGCCAGATGTACTTCAGATTCAGAATTTTATAGATTTTAGTAAAGTAATACAGTATATGCATCACATATAGTGATGCAAAACAGTAATATTTCCACAGTAAAAAGTACAAATACAAGAAGTGGGCAAAGACTATAAACAGCTTTATATGTGGTAAGTTTTGGGTTTTCAGAGCTTTCTGTATTCAAAATTGAAGATAAGGGACTGTGGACCTGCATAGAGAATCTTATTAAGATATCAGAAAACCTTATAATTTCTTCAAGTATCTATTTCTAGCTGGTTCTTCCTAGAGATGCGAAGTAAAACATTTGAAATATGTTTGTTTTTGAAGGCATGTGAGTGAGGAAAAGTGATGTAAAGTAACTACAAAAAAATACATACATGCATACAAATCATTGCCCTTATAGTCGATTTCACAGCCATCCTGGGCTGTAGGACTCAAAGATAGAAGAGCAAGCCATGGCAGGGCACAGGTCCCAGAGGCCATCCAAGGCAATAATAGCTACCAATTACTGAGTGCTTCTCTCTGTGCTGGGCATTCACCTTTAATCCTCACAAAAACCAAGGAGAAGGGCATTAGCACTCCTGTTTTACAGATGAAGAAACTAAGTCTCAGAGAGGTTAGGTAACTTTCCATAGTTACAAAGCTGGGTAGGCAACAAGTTGGATGCCCCACTCTTGTACTATACCTTACTGTATCTCTAAGAAAAAAAAAAAAAAGAATACATGGTTAACCAGCCCAGAGTTTACCCAGCAGGAGGCTTAGTGTACAACCCTATCTAAAATAGCACCCCCATCACTTTATCCCCTTTTCTGCTTTATTTTTCTTTATATGACTCCTTGACATTATATATATTTGTATACTTGTTTACTGTCCACCTCCCCCACTAGGAAGAAAACTCCATGAGGGCAGGAATTTTGTTTTGTTCATTGTTATTTCCCCTGCGTATGAAACTGTGCTGGCCCAAAGATGTGCATATATTTATATGGCGAATGAATGTAAGACCCTATGCATCCCTAAAAAAGACCGTTGCAAGGCCGGGCACAACGGCTCACGCTTGTAATCCCAGCATTCTGGGAGGCCGAGGCAAGAGGATCATTTGAGGTCAGAAGCTCAAGATCAGCCTGAGCAAGGAGACCCCATCTCTACTAAAAATAGAAAAAATTAGCTGGGCAACTGAAAATAGAAAAAAAAATTAGCTGGGCTTGGTGGTAGGAACGCCTGTAGTCCCAGCTACTCAGGAGGCTAAGGCAGGAGGATCACTTGAGCCCACGAGTTTGAGGTTGCTGTGAGGTAGGCTGACACTACAGCACTCTAGCCCAGGCAACAGAGTGAGACTCTGTCTATGAATAAATAAATAAATACTGTTGCAGTGTGAAGTGGAGTGTATATGCATAGGATTTCTTTGTCATCCCTGAGATCTCTGTGGCTGCCCCATTACCAAGGTTGCAGGCTACTGGACATCTGAGGAATAAGTAATTGAGACACAGGCACTCTGGGGTTCAAATTATGGTACAAATTTCTGTAATGCAGCAACAGGCCCTAAATTCAGGATAAAACAAGAGGAAGGAAAAGTTAATGCAATCTATTACACCTCTATTTGCTTCCCTTCCTTACAAACACTCCAGGCATATCACACACACATACACACACACACACACACACACACACACACACACACAGCAACAACAACAACAACAACGCTAACAAGGTAAATCCCCTTGCTATGGAGTGAAATGTATTCCCTCAAAATTCATATGCTGAAGCCCTAACCTCCAGTACTTCAGACTATTACTGTATTTGGAGAGAGGGCCTTTAAAGAGGTAAGCAAGGTTAAATGAGGTAATAAGTGTGGGGCACTAATGCAATATGACTGGTTTCCTTATAAGAAGAGACACCAGGGATGCTTACGTACAAAGAAAAAGCCATGTGAGGACACAGTGAGAGGGCGGCCATCTGCAAGCCAAACAGAGAGGCCTCAGAAGAAACCAAACCTGCTCACACCTTCAAGATCTTGGACATCTAGCCCCAGAATTGTGAAAAAATAAATCTCAGTTGTTTAAGACTCCTAGTCTGTGGCATTTTGTTATGGTAGTCCTAACACACCCACACACACAGATTATACCACAGGAAAAACACACCATCAGGCATGCAAGCACGGCAGTAGGGTGAGGTTCAACAGTATTTCTGTTTCAGTACAGACAAGGCCGTATCTGAAAGGCTTTGTCTGTCCCATGTTTCCTCTGTCCACACAGATGCCAGTCTCCAGCCTGGAAAAAGCCAGAGACAGCATATGCATTCACTCCCCAATTCCATATCCAGCTCAAGTGCCACCTCAAAGATGCTCAGACAGCCAAACTACCACACCATGCTCTCTCCCCTCTTCCAACTGCAGCTCTACATTCAAAAAGTGCTGCCTTGTACTGATAATTATTTTTCCTAAAAATTGGTCAAATACTGATTTTAACAGCAATATAGGTTATAATTTTACCCTCCTCCAAAACAAGAGCTGGAAGACTTTCACTCTTGTGTATTCTCCAAACACAAGCACATGGCTGGGCACACAAGTACTCATTCATTCATTCATTCTTTACTGGGGACCTACAATGTGCTGGCCCCGAGGGAGGCACTGTGAACGAGACAGGCACAGAACCAACCCTTAAGACGCTTACATTCTTGCTAAGGAGACTGACATTAACAAACAATACATGTCATTACAAATGCGATATGTGCTATGAATAACCAAGACACATCTGCTTATGCCCGTGCATGCTGGTCGGCTGCCTGTCACAAATCCTTCTCTCTCCCAGCCACACATAAAGATGACCCCGTCTCTGTCAGTGCTCCCGTCCCACTAGCCCAGACCCCAGGCCCCCAAAACAGGTAAGATCCAGTCACAGCACAGTTTCAGCAAATATGCAGGGTCTGCACCTAGTGCAAGCCAAACGCCGAAGGCCTCACATCCAACGGATGCTCCCGTCAGGCTGGGGTGCGGCTGGGAAAGCGCCTCCATCCTCCAGGCATCAGGAGGGTAGGAGCACAGGTGGCTCCCACAGGGCTCTGGGACCTGGAGATACTCTCTCTACCGAGCCCTCCACGCTGTCTTCCCAGGTGTTGTCCGAGCCGGAAGGCTCTCGCGGAACCAGCCACTGCCCTAGAAACAGGTTCTCCGGTTCCGACCCCACCAGCAAGCAGGCCCCTGAGTCACCTCGCGAAGACCCTTCCCTCCCCGCCCTCTCCTCTCAGCTCCCAGCCCAGGATCCTCCAACCCAGAGCCCGGCTGGGACCTCGGCCGCCCAGCCCCTGCACCACCCACGCCCAGGCCCCGCGCTCCCGCGTCGCTGAGCCCCTTAGTCTCAGGCCCGGAGGCGGAGTCACGTACCCAGGCGAAGAGCGCGGCCGCCGCGGGGGCGACCTCCGAGGCGCACAGCTCGCGCTTCATGCGTGCACACGCCGCCGGCGCTTCCAGGAGGAACATCGAGGGGGCGGGGCCCTCCGGGGGAGGGGCTGGCGCGGAGGAGGCCCCGGGCGCAGGGCGGGATGGCGACGGGGGCGGACCCGGCATGAGGAGAGTCTGTGGTAGGCAGGTGCCGGCCGGGTCGAGGCTGGCAGGGGCGGGACCTACCGGGGGCAGGCTCTGTGGGGGGCGGGGCTGGCGCGGGGAGGGTCTGTGGCTGGCGGGGCCGGCAAAGGAGGGCGGCCCTGCGCGGGTTGGCGGAGGCAGCGGCTGGCGGCTGAGTCCTCGGGCCTCCAGGATCCAGTAACGGGATGGGCCAGACGACCGCCCCCGGAGCCGCCTCCGGGTCGCCCGCCTGGGCGCGCCGTAGCGTCCCCGCCCCCGGCCTCCTGTTGCGCTTGGCCAGTCGGCCTCTCCCTCCCTCCTCTCGCACTCTCTATTTTTAGAAATAATTCCATAGAGGTGCAGTACGCTCCGCGGTTCAAAAAGCTGCTTCTCATTTCTGTCTCAGCGTCCCACAATACCCAGAGGAGCTGACAGGGCCGGGATTGTACCACCATTTGACGGGGGTGGAAGTCCTGTCCAGTGCCTCAGCCTGAGGAACTGCCTTGAGCCTGCTTTGGTGTGCGTTTGCAAGATCCGAGGGAGCGTCTTGGGAGGCGAGTGTAGTGTCTTAGGTCGCTGGTGTCGCCCTCGGCGCCTGGCACGGAGCGGGCACTTGCACCCCGCGACACTGAACGGGGGAGGCTGGTTTGCGCGTTCCTGGGGCGGCCTTTTCACCCTCCACTCCGGGCACGGCCCTGCCCTAATTCTGATACTGGGTAATTTTCAGTAAAATGTATCAATATTGACTGGGTAATTTTCACCCAACAAACGTTTTCATATAAAATGGCTTTTATCAGATAGTGTCATACTGCTGGTGGGAGTTAAATAAGTACAATTTTCCTGAAGGAAAATGTGGCGATGCCTATTGGGAATAGAGAATAAATGGGGTCACATTAAAGATGGTAATCCATGTTCGGTTGCTCTTGGCCCCTGAATCAGCAGGTGACACCTTCTGTGTAAGCAGATGACACAGGCTGCAGCACTTATCACCCCTTTATGCGTGGGAGCCCCTGGGAAGTGTCTCAGGCGAGCTCTTACACAGTCGTTTCCAGTTCTTTCCCTCTATCCCTCCTTGGTGTTTCTGCCTGTAAAACCTCTTGAGGGCAGCCCCTCACCTTTCCCTCTCCAGCCTGTGGCATCTTGAGAACATTATGACCGTACTAGGAAAAATGCATGCTCTAGAGAAGCAAAGCAGCTCTTCATTCTCTAGAGACCTCAATGTGCAAAAACTATACCGTGCGTGCTGTTTTGTAAGAGTGGGCTTTTTTTGTTCTGAGGATTCCTTTTAAGCATGTGTAATAGGATGTAAAAATGGGTCCCTTCCCATCTCAGTGTTGGCTGGGACCCCAAGACAGTAAGTGCCAATGACTCCCACATTATAAAGTGAGGTACGGCACCACCAAAGCAGAACTTGCAAAGCAGAACTTACAAAGCAGATATCTAGAACTATACTCAAAGAGTAGAGGTAAACTGGAAATAGATCAGCCCTCACAAAGACTGAAACTCAGCTTCTCATTGGCTCAATCCCTAATAGGACTAAGAAGATTTTGACATGCTATTATATTATATACTGCCAGCTAGAAGCAAAAATTAATCCCCTGTTGAGGAAGATAGCTAAGGGAGAATCTCTGATTAAGAGAGTGATTATATTAATGAATCTTTAAATGTAGAAAATAAGGGTTTTTTGTTTTTTGGTTTTGTTTTTTTTTCAAACATCATTTTCTCCAATAACCCAGTGCAGTAGACTTAGCTGATTTTACAGATAAGGAACATGAGATTGGGACTTTACCAAGAACTCTGAAAAGTTGTAACTAGACTTCAGGTGTGTTTGGCTCTATCTAATATCCATAGGCTTTTTAAGAAGTATAATGGAGTTCTTAAACTAATAAAATTGCTAATATAAATTTAAATCCATTTTTAATATATATTTGACAAAAAAGAAATACATGTTGATGACATAATTTTGTTCATTTATTCAGTTGAATAACAAGTTTGTAAATCATAAATGTATATCACATAGTAAAATAAAGATTAGACTGAAATACACCACAGTATACACTTTCTAGAAATCAATATATGAACTCTATTATATATTCCTTCAGTGAATTCCAGGATTTTTTCTTTTTTTGATTTGGAAGACAACTTAAAAACTAACAATAATTCTGTACGTTTTAGTGTGTCATTACTACTCATATAACTCCAAATGACAAAATATTCAGATTAAGCAATGTAGGCATTCTGATGATCAGCTTTTGAGCTCCCTTCGAAAAGTCAAGAGGACAATGTACACTATTTAGGTGATGGGTACACTAAAAGCCGAGACTGCACCACTGTACAATTCATCCATGTAACCGAAAACCACTTGTACCCCTACATCTACTGAAATAAAAAAAAATCAGAAACAAAAGTCAGGAGGATACTATGCCTCTGAGTAATGATTTACTGATTAAGAATTATGAACCAAGATTTTAGTTCAATTCTGTTCTCATATTTGAATAGCTATTTTTGAAGACATATTTAAAATGCATGAAAATTCTAAGACTCTCAGGACTCCTTATTTACCAATCCCACAAATTCAGAGGTTAGAAGAAAGAACTGAAATCCATCATTAAATATTTCCTTTGCTCTGAAGTTGTGAATTATAGGGTTGTACCTTTAACATTTATTTTAGTGTGCTTTAGTCATAGAGTGATTTTAAACACTATCATTTTAAATTCAATAACTATGATTCTTCACTATGATCAAAATTGTATGAAAATAACCAAATACAGTAGTATGTATACTCTGCTGTTATTTAGTATCTATTAAATTTGTTTACAATAGATTTCTTCGTAACTAAATAAACCAACTATAAACCAGCTAATGAATATTTCAAATGATTTCAGATTCACTAATAGATCTATTTACTATCAAATATATACTTGAGTTGATTAGCTATTAAAATTTATATGTAATACAAAAATCTGAAATAGCATGAATTACTCTTCCAAATTGTATTTCCTTGTATAATATGAAGTGAAATACATTTTTTAAAGTTTTTTATAATTTCTTTTGAGGTCTAAAAAGTATTAAAATTTCTAGTAGTCTGTTGAAATAAAACATGTTAAATGGCATACAATTTGGCTATTAATGTGAAAAACTAAGAGCACAGTTTTTTAAGTAGCTGATTAAGCCTGGAAAACTGACTAAAAATACTGCATTTAATATACCATTAACCGAATTAGATCACTGGGAGAGGAAGCTGATGGGGTGGAATATTCAAGTGATTCTGGCTCCTTTTTGGATCTGTTGAATTTAAGATACGTGGCAGGGCTGCCACATTGCACAACCCCATTTCAAATTCTTAGTCTAATCTTAAGTATTATGCCCCAATCAATCTTTCGAGACTTTGCTATTCCTATTTCCCTACAAGATACTACACTTGAAACTAAACTGTTTGCTCTTTACTAGGTATGTTGCATGTGCAAAGACTCATGCTGGCAGCAAAGATAGCTGGTCTCCTATTAAGTTTAAGTGTGTGAATGTGATTGAGCCTGGCACAAATTCAGCAATCAGTAACAGATACTTCAGAAATAAGGAGATCTCAGGTAAGAATATGGGTCAGCTCCATAATACTCATCAAGGTGTTCTGAGTGATCATAAAGGTCATTTTACTCAAGAAGGAATGGGGAAAAAATACAGTTAGGCTGAGACTAGATCTATGCATTGAGTCAAACAACTTCTGTATTAAAAATAGGTGGTAAGTAAATTGTATGTAAATAATTTCACTCAAGCTGTTACCAAAAAAAACTAAAGAAAATAAAACAAAAAAATGGGTGGTGGGTAGAATATCCACATACAAATTTTCAAAGACGAGTGATTCATTAAAGAGTGGATTATAGTATATTGTTTGTACAGAAGCTGCTGTCTCTCCACAATCAGGTTTTCAAGAAAAGCAACAGTTGGCCCAGGGGCCCCTAAATTGATGCTCAAATGCGTTCTGGGTTAGCACTGGCGACTGTCAGACACTCGGCTGCCTGCTGACCTTAGCAAGGGCGTCACTGATGACATCGAGATCATGCCGCAACTCGTCCATGGCACTGGTTATGCTCTTGGTGTCTTTCAGGATCTGAATACTCCGTGTATATGGATTATACTTCACTCCAAATGGACGCTTAATTGTTTTGGTAAATTCTCTATTTAAGAAAACAAATAAAAGACAATCAATTTCTAGGGAGTAAATGATGAAAATTAAATAAGCAACTGAAGACCTACTTCACACACTAGGCAAAAGACAAATCTTTGTTAGATACGTGTGCAACCAATCTGATCTACTTCTCTATACCATATGTGCAGAGGCCCCTGGAATCCCACACAAGTGGAAAATCTAAAGTTGTCATAGATACATCTACCCTGGCATTACTGGGGAAAGATCCTGTAGATATCTTTACTAATAATTTATTACTTTATACATCTCTTAACTACAGTAAGGAGATCAACCATAGTAGCTTTATCATTAGACATAAAATTGTGTCATTACAACATTTGACCACATAGTAACAGACCCCTCAGTCATGCTTTATATAACTACACGTACACACATGTAACCTAAGTGTATGTAACATATGATGCACATGCGCGCACACACACACACACACACACACACACACACACACACACCTCAAAATAGGCCAGATATGGTCTTGACGCATGCATGTGTACTTTCTTTCTGCTTAGAATGTTTTCCTCTCAAATGATCTAAATTCTACCCTTTCTTTAAGCACTAAAGTTCTACCTCTTTTATCAAAGCACCATTTGAACCTCTCATTTGGCCCCCTCAAGAACAATTATGTTCATGTTCAGGACCCCTAGGGATAATTGTGCGGCTCAGGACAATTGTACATGAGTAGGAGGTGAAATCCAGCTTGCAGTCTACCTACCTGGTCTACCCAGAAGGAATCTCTTCTAATTTGCATAAAGGTGCCATCTGTTCTAGAGGAAGCCCTGCTGGTATTATTCTTTGGTTCTATGCACAGCCTAACTCCCCAACTAATGGTAAATTCCTGGAAGACAAGGACTATGTCTTCAATCCCTATCTATCCCCATCATCACAATGTGACCTCAGGACCTCTTCCACCAAATGTTTTATTGATTCTGCTTCTAAAGTCTGTCTCTTTCCTACTACTTCTTTCTTAGTTAATTAAGGCTTTTGTTTTTACCCGAAGTATTGCAAGAATCTCCTAAAAAGTTTTTCTGCCTCCAATATCCTCTTTTCCTAACCACACACAGCTAATTAATAAAGAATAGCTTTGGTACATTGTACATATCTCCTGTATTTTTCAATATCCTTACCTTTCTTCATGCTATCTCTAAGCCTGAAACTTAATATATCTAAATACTATCTATCTTTCAAGTCCTTCCTCAAATGCCATTAAGCTTTCTCTGTTCCCCCAGCTGAAATGAGTTCCTCCTGAATAAAATGCAGAACAATAATTTCATCTGTATCTCTCTAAGAGTCTTGTCACTTTCCATGTCGTTATATAGTGTATAACTATATATAAATTTGTATATAGTTTATTTTTCCTATTGGATTATAAACTCTCTGATTGGAAGGAATGAAAAAAAGCAATTTCTCAGTGTATCTGATTCATATTTGCAACTACACAAAATCATCATATGCAACATACTCCAAATATTTGTTGTGAAAGAGAGATAGTTTATGGGTGGAAGGCTCCTAGTGGGCTCCAAATTATCTAGCTTTCTACTTCTGGGACTTGTTACCATTACTGAGCCTATCTTTTGCAGAAGAAAATGAAGGCATGAGGAAGATATTCTTTACCTCATTTTTTCCTTTGCATCTTCAAAACTTTCTGATACAAAGTAGACATCCTGAAAAGTTGTGATGAGACATTCCTGTTTGCAGGTAATCTTGGGATCAAAGGGCTTTACTTTGGCATGTCCAGAAAGTGCATGCTAGAGGACAAAGAGTCAATGGATCAAAAAATAATATCTGTTTTCATAGATCACACAACTCTCATAACTGGCACATCTCTGAATATATTACTAATGCAATGTCCCCAACCTACAATTCTAAACTTATTTCCTACAGTTCTATTCAGCCTACAAAACAAATCTCTTTCTAAACCAGCACTTCTCAACTTCCAGCAAAGCAAATGGCTTGCTCTTCCCCATAAAGGCCCCAAGATCATCTCAATGGCTTTGTTCGAATTCTCTTCTTCATATAAGAGGCACCCAAGGATCTTTATTTATTCTTGTATTATGGCATGCACCTCCTTTCTACCCAGCATTAGTTATTCCTTTACATAACTTATACCCACGACTAGGTGCTCCTTGAGAGCAAGACAGTACTTTGGACAAGTGTTTTGCACACATCCATCACTCAATAAACATAAGTTCATTTATTCACTGGATAAATAATGTATCTCAAAGAAATACTTAGAAATTATAGAAGTTACTGGTAGCATATCAGAAATGATAAGGAAACAAGACTTTGTAAGCAAAAGATTTAAAACACTTTTTGTTTAAAAGATTATATATATGTATACACATACATATATCAGAAAACTTGGGAAAGAGAGAAAAATGGCTTCAAGTAATGATTACTGCCACCCCAAGTATTTTCCATAGTAAGCTCTTGTTCAAATACAAAAACTATTTCAGGTTGTATCAATTATATCAGGTGAATATGGTTATACACAAAGATTTACAACTCTTACTTTGAGTTCACTGATAGAAGAAAGTAAGCCAGCGCCAAAGACTCTTAGCTGCCCGTCTTGTTTACATAGCCCAAACTCCACAGTGAAAAAGTAGCACTGCAAAAGGGCATCAATATTACTTTCACATCCTAAATAACTTCAACTCAAAATAAAGTACAACTCTTAGTCACTGATCCAAAGTACCTCAGAATAAAGTCCAAGACCCCAGCCTACTTCACAACTCTTTCCATAATCTGGTCTCATTCTAAACCAGCACTTCTCAAACTTTTGTTCTGAGAACTCTTATATACTGTCAAAAATTTACTAAGGACCCCAAAGATCTTTTTTTTTTTTTGGTATAGGTTATCACTAGCTATATTAGCCATATTAAAAATTGAAACAGGCCAGGCACAGTGGCTCACGCCTGTAATCCTAGCACTCTGAGAGGCTGAGATGGGAGGATTGCTTGAGCTCAGGAGTTCCAGGTCAGCCTGAGCAAGAGTGAGACGCTGTCTCTAACAAAAATAGAAAAATTATCCAGGTGTGGTGGTGTGCACCTGTATTCCCAGCTGAGGCAGGAGGATTACTTGAGCCCTGGAGTTAGAGGCTGCAGTGAGCTATGATGTCGCCATTGCACTCTACACAGGGCAACAGAGTGACACTCTGTCTCAAAAAAAAAAAAAAATTAAAACAGAAAAATATAATAAACTCACTTTATAATAACATAAATAACATTTTAACAAAAAATAACTATACAAAACAAAAAAGTGAGAAACGTAGCATTGTTTTACATTGTTATAAATCTTTTTAATGTATGGCTAGACATAATTTATTGTCTGCTAGAAGACAGATGGATTCTCCTATCTGCTTCTGTATTTAACCTGTTGCAATATGTTGTTTGGGTATATGAAGAAAATTCAGCTTCACACAGATATGTAGTTGGAAAAGGGTTAAGTATTTTAATAGCCTTTCAGATAACTGGTGATATTCTTCTTTGACACTGCATGAAAACTCAATGAATGGTAGAGTCTCTTAAAGTTTAGCTGCAATGGTGCAATTGTCAATGAACTGCCTATTATATTAAAATCCACTTTGTACTTTGAATGGCTTTTTTATCATGCATGCTTTTGACCTCTAGGACCCCATAAAAGGGTTTCAAACACCCCAGGAGTCCCCAAAAAACAATTCGAGAAGCACTGTTCTAAAATCTAGCCTATTTCACACCACCTCCCTGACCCTCAAACACCAGCTTCTTGTCATTTCCCCAAACACACCAAGCACCTCCTATCTTTTCTTGTGTCCTCATCCTGAGAGGCTCTTCCTTCCTTGCTTGGCACATTACTCATTTTTCATCAGCTAGTCCAGATGTTCCTCTTCCATGAAACCTTTGCCAAACAGTTCTCTGTGCTCCCAGAGCAATTTGCCTGAACTTCTATACAGACTTTATCTCATTTGAATATAACTGTCTTCTTACATAGTATATAAGCTCCTTGAAGGCAGGAATCAGGCCTTACTCATCTTTGTATTTCCGGCACTGTATCTTATACCCAGTGCTCAAAAATATTTTTAGCATAGTTTTTATGGAACCTATCATTTTATTGGAAAATAGGATATATACAAACTATTAACATTATTGTAACCTTGTGTTTCTCTTTTTTAAAGCTCATGTCTCCTTTTGATAAACCTTAACACTTTATATCCTTCTTTAATGTTATTTAAATTATTTTAATTAAATTAAATATTAAGAGCAAAGAAAAATTTTCTAATGGTATTTTGAATATGCACTTTTAAACTACACAGATACTCATTCACCACCACCCCTCCCCAGTTGAGAATTGCTAATCTATATTTCCAGATTTATACCGTTGCCAGTTTTTGAACAGCCTCCTCTGAAGCTCCAAGGGAAGCCAGGCCAATTTCTTGGGAGAATTGGGCAAAACTAGGTTCAGCAAAAAGAGGGACGTGACCTAAGAGTTCATGGCAGGTATCTCTGAAATAGAGGTACAAGTTTGTTACACTGTGACGCTGCTTAACATATATACATAATCAACCATTCAGTCAAATCAAAATCCAATCCTTTCTTCTAATTGATCAGGTGGTGTTACTTTGGTGATGGATCACAAAGAACACTTATCAAATAAAGAAACAATTTTGGTTCAAAACCTTGGCCACTCATAGACAGGCACATTTAAGTGCACGTCAGATACTCACAGACATCCACATCCCTCCAACCCACCCCACACACACCTAAATCAGGTCTCTGCTCAAATGTCACCTTCTCAGCAAAGCCTCCCTGATCACCCTTTTCGAAACAGCAACACACATACCTCTAACCACTCATACCCTCATCCATCTCCTTTCCCCTCTTTATCTTTCTCCATGGCACTCATCACCAGACATAAAATACATACATTTATTTGTTTTTTTATTATCTGTAACCTCAAGTTCTACGAAGGCAGAATTTTTTGTCTTATTTTTTTCAGTGTTACATCGCTATCCTTTGAATAGTACCTGTCACCTAAGAAGCTGTCAATTAATAGTAATTATTATTATTATGGCTAACATCTATAGAGCATGGACCATGTATTATGTGCCAGGCACCATTCCAAATGCTTTACATGTGATAGTTTAACCCTCACAAAAACCCATGAGCTAGGTGCCATTATTATAAATAAACATTTGATGAATGAATGGCTGATGGAGAAGTACTTACGGCTCTGGGGTATAGAGGGGATCTGAACTGTGTCTCACATATTGAGTGCAGTGAAAGACTCGAAAGGCTAAACCTGATAAAAAATCTCTTGGTGATAAGTAACCAGCCACAGGACGGATGGAAAAACCTGTACGCTCTGCAAAGCAAAAGAGAAAGCAGAGAAAATCTTCACCAGAACAGACCATTAACTGCAGCATTTTAATTCTGCCAGAGGTGCCGAGTGACACCTTGAGGGAGGACATGGAAGCTAAAATTTATTATTTGCATATGAAGGGGAACTAATAATTACTAAGCACTGACCACGGCCAGGCAATGAGTAAGACCTTTTACATATCACATCTCCTTTCATGATTACAACACGTGTTAAAGATTTTTCTTCTTCTTGTGACAATTATAAGACAGACAGGTTCAGAGACTCAATAATGTGCCCAAGGCCACACAGTAGTTGATAAAGGTAGACTGAGAATCCAAGTCTCCTTATACTGTACTACCCCTTGCTGTTTCCCTAAACGGTCTACAATATCTCCTAAATAATCTTATTTTCTTTTTGTAAAAACTCACTAACAAGATCTATTAATTTAGGTCAGAACCATTTTTGAATCTGTGCCATTTTTAGCCAGTACTATCTCTTGTAAAGTATTTCCTTTATTTTATCTACGTTGGATGGTGCTCTTCCATTCCACAACAGCTAAGACTGCACACATACTGCAAAAGGGTCTGCCACTAGATGTCGGTGGCTCAAGAGACCTCTGTAAGCTCTAATTTTAGCCTTCATTCAAAACCCTCACGACTCTGGTATTTGGACACTCCCACTCTGATGGGCCCACTGCACTGTCCAATAGAACTTTCCAAAATGGTAGAAATGTTCCATATCTATGCTATCCGATAAAGCAACCACTACCCCATGTAGCTATTGAGCATTCGAAATGTGGTTAGTGTGACTGAGGAACTAACATTTTGATTTAAATTTATGTTAAACATTTAAAATTTAAACAACCATAAGTGTCAGTGGCTACCATATCTGATAGTGCAAGCAGCCCCTTCCAGCTGATGTTTTGTTTGAATTGTCTTTTAATTTTGGTTTCTCTCTTTGACACTTGAAACACCTTCAGCAATGCATTCTGCAGCTAGTCCAGGCTCCAGACCCCAAGTGAACAACTTTCAGTTTTGTATCTATAACAAAATATTTCCTCCAAATCTCATGCAAATTTGATTTTACAGCAACTTCTGTAGTATATACTTGTCCATCTTCATAAGTCCAGCAAGGTCATGTGCATTGATTCTCTATCATCCTTAATCACTACTTTTTAAAAGTTTTAGTTTTTGTAGGAACCACCTACATGATTTCTGCCCTTGTAGAAACTATATTGTCCTTTCCTGTTTAGTTCTTCTTAGTTTTGTGTATAGCTGTTGAATACTGAGAATTAACTCAAAAATAGTACTGTCAGACCATGACGGAAATAAGCTAAACTCTCTGAGTCAAAGACATACCTTCTCCTCCCCCCGTAAGGCAATCTTTTGAGATGATCTACTGAGATAAAAGAAAATATTTATTTTTCTTAAATATTATATACCCTAGAGATCACTGATCAATCGTTTTACTTTCCATACTAGCTAGAATAATAAAGAGGCCTAGACAAAAGGTATGAAGAACTAAAAGGAACAAAATTGTCCTTACCCTTTGTTTATGCCTCTACTAGCACAACATCTTTCTTATGAAAATGGTAGAATCTTAGTGTGGAATGGGGCATCAGCCTTCCCCAAGATGCTTGAATCTCCTCCACCACATTTCATGTGCGGAGTTTTTGTACGAACACCTCCATGGATGGGGAAGGAACCATCTCATAAGCCTGTTCTATTTTCTCTTGTGGTTTTTTCTTTTAATTTAAAAAAATAAAATTCATTGAAATCTGGTCATTATTTCCATTTTTATCAAAGAGAAACATTCACAAGCCTGTTCTATTTTCAAATGACTCTTTTAACAAGATATTCTCCATTTTGAGCCAAAAGCTTGCAGTTTCTATCCAATAGTCCTTTACTTTAGGGTCACATAGCAACCCCTCTATCATATAAGACAGCCTTCAAATATTTAAATAAAGCTATAACATTCCCTAAATCACCAAGTTAAATACCCCAAGAGTCCTTATTTTCAAATCTCCTTATAATTCTGTCAACTTTCCTCTACTCTTGCTCTGGGTTATGATTGTCTCTCTTCAAATGTGGTGCCCAGTCCTGGATCCAATCCTTCAGGACACAGTACAGGAGAATGGTGACCTCCCATATATCAAGACGTCATTTCTCTATTTAAAATGCTGTCATGATCAAAACAGAGTTTAACATTTCCTTCACAAAAAATTAATTAGCTCATTACCTCTTAAAAAGTTTGAGACATCTTCCAGTTGTGGAATATTATCTTCCCGATATCCACAATATTTGGAAAGCAAAGGTAAGTTTTTGAGATACTCTCTGCAAGCATGGGTTGGGTAGAGTTTGTTGAGCTCTCGGAACACAGTTCCCCAGGTCTTAATCTCCTCTTCAGTGAATTCCACCTTAGGAATGGGGTCTCCACTAATGAGATAAAGGGTAGGAGTTGTTTTGAATTAGCATTTAATAAACAGTAACACTTATTTCACTTTCTATTTACTAAATGAACACTATTTATTCTATTCACTTATTTTATGGTCTCAAAGTTGGGTCTGTTATTTTTATAATATACTTACTGTTTATAGTTCATAGCCAAGTCTGCAAAATACTTTCGTCTTTTACGGTAGACATTGTCCTTGAAACCCTAATAATTAAAGATATGTTTTTAAATATCCATGCTAAAACATACTTGACAAAGGATATTTAGGAAACATTTCATCATTACAAGAGCTATCATATTAAAGGGCTATATAATTGTTACTATGAGCAAGCATTGTTTACAGATTTATGATCATTTTTATTTTAAAGTCAGTGTTACATGACAGTTTTATATTCTAGTAGCTGTAAAGATAAAAGATACTATAGATACAAAGATAATATAGTGGCTACAAAGACAAAATAAGGAAAGCACCACCCTAGTTAAATACATGGCTCTTTTCCAAGGGTGAGGTTTTTCTTAATCAATTGACTACTGCTTCAATTATATTTACCTATAATGGTAATTAATAACAAGAATAATTAGTAATATCTGAAATAGTTACAACTAAATCAATCCTTATATTTTATCACAAAATGCAAACATATTTATGATTTGTGGACACAGTGATAATTAAAAACAGACAAAATAGTAACATTAGAATTTATACTTATGAGAAATATTTAAGAAAATGTAGGCAAAATAAGAAATCAAAAATCAAAGCTCAGGAAAAAATAGCCAAAAAATGTAAATAGTAGGAAAGGAGGAGACACCTGAAAAGAGAGAGTGAGACTCATCTCTTTAATACAGATTTATGAACCCCTACTATGCTCCTGACCCTGTGCTAAAATCTGGAGAAACAAATATGAATAAAGCACAATCTGGGACTTCAAGGAGTTTACATGAACCAATTATTATGAAACAATCTGATCTGCAATATTGTCATATTGCAGATATGCACAGAATGCCATGAAAAATCAAAAAAGAAACTCATAAGCCAGTGTGTAAAGAGGATAGCATGGCTCAGGAAAGGCTTCTCGAGGATGACTCCTGAGCTAAGACACAAAGAGGAGTGGAGATAGCACCATGATGGAAAAGAAAATATGAGGGATCCAATGTTGCTGGAGCTTGGAGAGTGAGGTGGAGCATGCTGAAAAACAGGTAGGAGCCTGCAAGTTAAAGGTCTGCTAAGGAGCTTGGATTTTAGCCTTGGTTAATGGGAATCCATTGGTGGTTTGTTTGTTTGCTTTTTAAATAACAACTTTATTGAGATATCATTCATATACCATAAAAATAACCATTCAGTGGTTTTTAGTATATTCACAGAGTTGAGCAACCATCTCCATCATCTAATTTCAGAAAAATTTTGACACCCCAAAAAGAAACACCATACTCGTTAGCAATCACTCCCCACATTCTCCTAGCCCCTGGCAACCAGTAATCTACTTTCTCTTTCTATGAATTCTCCTATTCTGGACATTTCATATAAATGTAATCATACACTATGGGGCCTTTTGTGACTAGCTTCTTTCATTTATCATAATGTTTTCAAGGTTCATCCATGTCGTAGCATGCATCAGTACCTCATGTTTTATGGCCAATAATATTTCATTGTATGAATATATTTTATCCATTCATCAGTCGATAAACATTTGGATTGTTTCTACTTTTTTGCTATTATTAAAAATGCTGCTATGAACACTTGTGTGTAAGTTTTTATATGGACATATGGTTTCAATTCTCTTAAGTATATTCCTAGGAACCAATGGTGATTTGGGAGAGAGAAGGATAATGGTCATATTGAGGTTTTACATCATTCTAACGACTATGAGGAGGATGGGTTTGAAGGTGGCAAGGCTGGGAGGCAGGGAGACCAGTTAAGGGATGTGGTAGCAGCAATAAATAAGGAACAAATTTAAGAAATATTTAGGAGGTGAAAATCAGCAGGACTTGGTAGTAGATCAGTAAAGCTGGCATACTCACTTTTCCATACAAGGTGCCCAGATTTTCTTGCCTCCAAACCTGTTCTCATATTGTTCCCCTCCTGAATTGTTCTTCCTCTCCATCTCTTACCTGCTGGGATCTTTTCAGGCCTGCTTGAAATGTTGCCTGTCCTTCAGCTAGAAGTGTTTGCTCTTTTATGTATATTTTGGAGCAATTTATTTATGTCACTTAACACATACTTTTTACATTTTATCTTGCATGTGTTTATTTATATATGTGTGCTTTAGCTTTTCAACTAGACTGCTAACTCTTTTTGGGCAACTGCTACAATTAATGACAATAGTTACTCAATGAGATTATAGAATAAATGAATGGATCAGCTGGTGGCTGTCTACAGTAGTTTAGGTCACATCCACATGGCTAGTAAGTGGGAGAAGCTAGATTACAGCCCTGGTCTGTGTAACTCCACAATTGCACTCTCGTCTCTCCTCCCCTCCCAGGAACCCACAGCTTTGTAAGTAAGCCTAATGCTCTGGATTTACTAATTCTCCAACTCTTGCCTGTACTGTACAATTTCCCAAGTAAACACCTTCCTATTTCATCAACTACCTAATAAACCAGTCATGCTGGGCAGTGTGGGTGGTAAGTCTTTCTCAGGCCCACCTTTATTTATCCTTCTTTCCAGTAACCCATGCCCATTTTAATAAAAACTGACTGCAAACACTGTCTTCATTTGAGTATAACTTTTGGAATAACTCTCAGTAATAGGAATACCAGACATGGGACAGATGTTTTGGAGCCAGTGAAGTCACATGTTTTTAAGGCAGTTAAGTCTCAGTTCCACCAACATGGAGGTCTACTAATGCTTCATGAAATCTGGATTAAAACAAACCTGTTTAGTTTATTAAAAATCACTCTCTCCCCAAAAAAGTTGCCCCTTAATTTTTAGTTTGCTTTAAATTATTTTCACGAAAATATTTATTAAAAATATTTACAGGATGGTCTGCATCTAGTTCAGATCCATACATCAGAACTCTGTTGGCACAATGATCCAAGTCAGAAATCTTCTTTGGGAACCAAGGAACAGTTTCCATACCTGAAAAATGCAAAAATCACTAAGAGTTGAAGAGACAATCTTAACTAAGGCAATAAGGAAGAAGAAATTAAGAAATAAATACATTTGGATGAGATTTTTAATTTGAGCTTGTTCACCAATGCAAAATTTATGCAAGTTAAGTAAACTAACTGCTCTATTTCTAAGAAGTAAATTTTATTCAAAAATTGGGGGCTTTAAAATTTTTTTTGAGTCTTCAAGTTGATTTCCTAAGTGTTGGAGAAATATTATACTTTAGTAACAGATCAAAAGTTTAAAAAAATTTGAGCTACATATTTAGTTATCCTGTCAAATCAGAATAAGAATATATAACTTATTTACAGACCAAGGTGCAAATTTAATAAGAACTTGGAATGTTTATTTCTCTTGATGAAAAGGATCTTAGAGATCGTTTATGTCTTTGCCACCTTGATCTTTTCACCATTCCGTAGACATACAAGCCCTCATTAGACTCTGGATTTTTGTATATGCTGTTCTGCCTGGAATAGCCATCCCACTCCCACTTGCTGCCCTGCCTGACCCCACCCTTCTGTTTTCCTGAGAATATTCTCATCCTTCAAGACCCAAATCTAATGAGACCTCCTCATTCTGCCAAGCTTTACCTGACCCTGTAGGTAGAGCTAATTCCCTGCCCTCTGGGTTCCCATGACACTGTGTTTCTAACTCTCTAAAGGTTTTTACTATGTTTTATTATAATGTATCTGTTTATATGTCTGTCTTACATGAAAGACTGGGAACAACTGTAGGGTATATTTTTGTATATCTTAGTAGAAATATCTAACACAAATTGGTGTACCCTAAATATCAGCTGAACCATTTAGCCATCTATAAAACTCTTCACTCTATAGATAAGGTAACCAAACTCCAGAGAGGTATAGAAATTTACCCAGGGTAACTCACTTACTTTTTTTTTTTTTTTTTTTTAGAGACAAGGTCTCACTCTATTGCCAGGGCTACAGTGCAGTGGCATCATCTTAGCTCACTGCAACTTCGAAATCCCAGGCTCAAGTGATCCTCCTGCCTCAGCCTCCCAAGTAGCTAGGCCTAGTGGCACATGCCACCACACCCGCCTGGCTAATTTTTCTATTTTTTGTAGAGATGGGGTCTTGCTATATTGCTCAGGCTGGTTTCAAACTCCTGGCCTCAAGTGATCTGCCTGTCTTGGCCTCCCAGAGTGCTACGATTATAGGTGTGAGCCACCACACCCAGCCCCAAGGTAACTCACTTCTTATGGAAGACAGAGGGCTAGAACTCAATCCTTCTTGCTCTAGTGTGACTTTTTGCTCTAATGTATTGTTCTTTATGACATATCCAGGAGTAACATTCGAGAAATTTAACAATAAATACAACAGGGGCACTAAGCACTCAAAATAGACACCGGCAGAGTCCTGGGCTCCTGCTCTGCCAGGTGCTAACCCTTTAGTTGTTAATGAAGGGCATAGGACTCCTAGGGCAGGATCTGAAACAACAGAGGCTTCAGGCATGGTGGGGAGTCCTGGAGAGCCTCAGAGAAGCAGCTTTCTGCCAGTCAGAAGTGAAAATCTATCAATATTTTAATAATTATGCATCTATATGAATATGTAACAGATGAATATCAGTCCTGATTACACCCTAAATATTGTGACATAATCTGAAGAGATTATTTTAGATTGAGTACCACATATAAAATGTTGCTAAATTATCCATTTATCTTTTGCCTCGAGTAAACTAAAAGGATTTTTCACAACTAGAGATCTTAGCCTATATCTTTGCTACTTGAGTATCTGAAACTTTCAAAGTCTTTATTGCTTTCTCATTTGCTTTTGGTGGGAGTAGGGACAGGAAGGAATGCTATACATAATGTATTTCACATCACAGTTATCAACATTCTCAACACTTCAATTTTTCATTTATTATCTGCTAGATGCTAAGCCTATTAGAGTCACTAAATGCTCAGGGATTGTGAACTGGAGGCTTGTGAAATCAAGAAATACTTGATGATTTGAAAATTAAGAGATAACCTAATAGATTTCTGACTATTCTGAATTCTTTCTTATACTGAAGGTTTCCTTTTCACTTCCCACTAGATCAAATGTTGCTTTATAATTTTCCTTTAGAATTTTGAGCAATTATATTTTGTGTTCCCTTCACTACTATACTGTAGGCAATTTGGAAAGACAGTGTTTTATTTTTACTCTCATGTCTTCAAGATAAATAGCAGTTTGGACACACATTAGGTACTCAATCTTCTAAGTAGTATTTTCACTTTTCAAACTTACCATCTTCCTTCACAGTAAAATTATCTGGTGGATTCACAGAGAGAACATTAGTATGAGACTTCAACAAATGAAAAATATCATTCAATTGTTCTCTGTTGGTGTCACAGTCAATAAAAATCTCAAATTCTGAGTTTCTTCTCTTTGATTTTCGGGACTCAATATGTAACAGGTTCACATGCTTCTCCTGTGTAAAACAGAGGGTAAATATTACATGTAAGTGCCTCAAACGTTAGTTGTCTCTGAGTAGATTATTTTCATTACCACTAAAAATCTATTTCATACTTGTCATAATAGCCAAAGGGAAAAAAGGGCTGTTTTTAGTGCTGCCAACAACAAAATAATTCTCCCTTAAATGTTATGTACTATTCAAAAAGTTTGCAAAATTCATCCCATCTTCTAGAAACCAATAAAATAACACCCACTAGAAGTCCTGCAGATTGTCAGAATTAATTGGAATTCAAATCAAAATACTAAGTCTCCTGATAAAAAAGAATCTTTTGAAAAGTCTCACAAATAAAAGCTAGTTTTCAAAAAGTAAGACTAATATTAGTCTTTGAGAAATTAAAGTTTTCTTTGCAAAAAATGCATTTAATACAATTAGGTGAACAGCTTGAACATAGAGTATTTAATACCTCAAATCTTTTAAGCTATAATCTTAGTAACCAGCTGAAGCAGATTACTGCTTCTGATCTCTTCCCATGTCAGCCTGAGCTGGGGGTACCATGTGCCTAAACCTGTGGGAGGAGTATATGGTCTCTTACCAGTTTGGGTAGATGAGGAAAAGCACTGGGTACATAACAATGAAACGTGGGAACCAATCACCCAACAGGTTTTTTAATCTAAAAAAATGAGAGGGTTAGAGCAGATGATCCTCAATACTAGCCAGTTCACCCTAAGATAACTTAGAGAACACCTGTGTAGCCACGTAAGGGCTGTGAAGAATATAAAGAAGGGTAAGACATACAAGGAATTTACAGTCTAGTTGGCTAACACATGAAAGACTAAGAAGAAGTACAAGCAGTGAGTGTTCAGGTGCAAAAGATGTTCAGCAAAGGGAAAAAGCATCATAGCTTAGAGAGCAGGTTTCATGCAGCAGATGGGAATTGAATCTTAAAGAGTAGATATTAATAGATTAAAAAGGCAGAGGGAAGAAGGAGGGATTCCAAACTGAAGGAAATATACACGCAAAGGTAGGGATGAGATAAGAATTATCAGAGACCACGAGCCAATAAGAAAGAAGAAACAATGTTAGGGGATGTTAGGAAATCGGAATAGGCAAGGTTTATCCTGGAACACAGAATTTATCATGGCATCAATAGAAGAAAGCCAGTTACAAAATACACTGAGATTGGTCAGGTGTAAAGAAGAATTTCATTTCATCTATTTCTTATAAATTTTTACAATAATAATGCATTCATAAATATTTTCTAAATGATGACTTTAAATATAAGGTAAACTACGTTTTTAAAGAAAAAGACGTAAAATGTTAATTCTTCCTAAATTAACCTATACATTGAACACTACTAAAATAAAAATCTCAAGGGAATTTGGTGAGGAAATGTAACTAAATAATTTCAAAGTTCACCTGGAAGAAAAATAGAGTCAGAAAAATTCAGACAAAGTATGAGCAATAAGTAAGAGATTTCCTATCAAATATTACAATGACAGAAACAGAGCCACAGAGAGGTTAAATAGTTTGCTCAGAGGCACACAGCTAATGTTCAGAGCTGGAGTTCAAACCTAGACTGTCAAGCACTATAGTCTATAATATCGAACACCATGCTTTGTACAAGTATAATCCTGTCATATGAGAAAGGAAAAGTCACAATCATGATTAATCGGCTCTTTTTTGAACAGTATTTATAGACTCTTAATAATAAAAACAATAAAGATTGGCGTAGCCCAAAATTGGGATACAACTACGTTGGGAAATGGGGGGAAGGGAAGTTGAGGGGGCCACTGGACAGGGGAGTTTGTATCGAGAAACCTGTATCTTTACTTCCATTGTTGGACAATAGATAATATCTATAATTTTAAAACTGAAGAAATAGAAGCAGAGTAAGTATATTATTTATAGTGTGGAAGTAAATATTAGAAAAATAGTTAAAAGAGTTGAAAATGGTTGCCTCCTCTAGGCAGAGGATAAGTAAAATGGGGTGAATGCACACACAGAACACCATACATCAGCTAGAAGGATGAATGAGATGTATATACAATAGCATGAATAGGTCTTAAAAACAGTGCTGAGTGGGGAAAAAAAGTTTATAGCACAATGCCATTTATATAAATTAATATATGCACACACACAAAACTCTACATACTCTAAAGTAAACATAAAAATGCTCAAAGTACATATCAAACATATTAGAGCAGCAGTCTATCAGAAGAGAGAAATGGAAATAGGATGGAAGAATGAAATAAAACAGGAGGACGTTGCACAAATCATGACAGTGTACACGTGATGTAATCAGTGTGATTAACTCATCCCTCTGTACTAAGGTTAACAAAAAAATCAATGGAACTTAGGAATAAAGAGAGGTGGATCAAAAGACTGCTGTTTTTTCTTTATAAGTTTTATAGTATACTTATGTATATACTTATGTATATAAGTTATATAGTACATACAGTTGTTTTTAAACCATGCACAATTATTCTTTGATTAAAAATTTTTAAAAAGTGATGCAGGAAGAAATATAGATATCTTATTTAAGGACCCAAAGGTAATCAACAGAATAGCTAAAAGTAATAATATAATTATTATTATAGGAGTTATTATTATTAGGAGTGGGAGGGGGAAGGAAGGGAGGTGGTATCAGTATCATTATTTATAATAGAAAATAACCAAACATTGTGTAAAGTTGATAACTCAAAAAGAGGTATAAGAGCAACATTGAGATTTTATAAACTCACCACCAAAAGAACTAAAGAACAGAAATAGTTAAAAGAGGTTGCCTCTAAGGAGTGGGACTGAGGATATTGTATGTTTAGGGTAGGAAATATGATGCTTTCTATCACAAACTCTTCTAGACTATTTGTCTACAGTTAAATTTTTAATTCTTTGAAATATTATTTTCAAATGATTATATAATATGTCATATGATTATAAATTTGATTTTTAAAATAGCTGACCTCTATTGATAATTTACTTTGTATTGTCCTATCCTAAGCACTTTACAGATATTAACTCTACCAGTTCCTACAATGAGCCTATAAGGTAGGTGGGCCCATTTTATAGACATAAAGACTGAGGTGCTGAGAGATTAATTAATTTGCCCACAATCACCCAGCTGACACATGGCAGAGCAAATATATGAACTCAGGTGGTCTGCCTCCAGACCCCACAAGCTTCACCACAATGATGTTCCAGGAGCACTATTTAATGTTGCCTACCTTAGGACAAGCAGTTTGTTTATAATTTTTAGTTCCTATAAATAATAAATTTTTGTGTCCCTGAGCCCTTTAACTTGGTTAGGTCTTCCAGTTCAATGCTATCACAATAACTGGTACTTCTATTTCATGTCACTTTACACATATGTGCTTATTTATTTACTATAGTTTTTTTGTTTAATGTCTACCTTCCCCACTAGATTATACACTTTGTGAACACAGGCACTGTGTTTACTTTGTTCAGCACCACATCCTAAGTATCTAGTGTGGCGCCAGGCGCATAGTAAGTGTTCAGTAAATATTCATATTCTGCCTCACTGATCTGTATTTGCTGAAGATATATTTATGGGAATGGGATTATTGGGTCAAAAAATATAAACACTTTAAGGATCGTAATCCATATTACCAGATAATTTCCCTACATGTTACATAAATTTACTCTCACACCAAAGGTGTATTTGAGTGCCAAATGCAGTGAAGCTCTTAGAGTATGGGACAGGGAATTGTAGAATCTTTGCTATATGAACATATATCATTAAATATATTATTAATATATCATTAGATACATTATTAATGTCGTTAAATATCATAAAATACATCATTAATAATATATGATTAAATATATCATTAAATAACAGTCAATTTTTAAGTATTTTAATAAAATAAAATTAAAATTTGCTTCTCTGAAATCTATGAAGTGAATCTTTTCTCCTCTATTTCCTTGTTAGCTATTTGTATCTCCTCTTCTTAAACTGTTTGTATCCTTTGTCCCTTTATTAGACTTCAACGATATTTTAGAAATCTAAGTTCTTAAGAAATTTCTGTAGCCTGTCTCTGAAGAATTTACAATAATTTATATTTTAAATATAATTTTAAAGACTCATTTCTAAAAGAGTTTTATGCAGAAATCTGGAAGTGCTTACCTGGAAAATTTTCAGTGCTTTTATAAGTCCTCCAACTTCATTCTTTAAGGAAAAAATGAGAGTTGCTCTTCCCCTTTCTAGGGAATGGTCTTTGTTCTCCTTATTGTCTTCGATCATGATGAACTTGGAGTAATTCTCTAAAACTAAAGTATTGCCTGGTGTGCTGGTGTGCCTATAGTCCCAGCTACTCAGGAGGTCAGGGCAGAAGGATCACTTGAGCCCAGGAATTTGAGGTTGCAGAGAGCTATGAAGACACCACTGCACTCTAGCCTCAGCAACAGAGTGAGACCCTGTCTCAAAAAATAATAAAACAAAATAAAAATGAGGCATGAAAACATAAAAGGCTAAAAAGGAAGTTGTGCAACACAGACAATATTTGATAACTAAGGGCACTTTGACCTTTCCAAGCTTCGTTTTCCTCACATTTTATAAAACCTGGATATGAAGATGTGCTTCGTAAAACTCTAATAAGATGGCTCACGCCTGTAATCCCAGCACTCTGGGAGGCCAAGGCGGGCGGATTGTTTGAGCTCAGGAGTTTGAAACCAGCCTGAGCAAGAGCAAAACCCCGTCTCTACTAAAAATAGAAAGAAATTAATCGGACAACTAAAAATATATAGAAAAAATTAGCCTGGCATGGTGGCGCATGCCTGTAGTCCCAGCTACTCAGGAGGCTGAGGCAGAAGGATTGCTTGAGCCCAGGAATTTGAGGTTGCTGTGAGCTAGGCTGACGCCACGGCACTCTAGCCCGGGCAAAAGAGTGAGACTCTGTCTCAAAAAAAAAACAAAAAAAACTCTAATGAGATCAAAATAAGACAAAACGTTGCCTAAAATAATGCCTAGAATGTACTAGGCATACAAGACATGTTAGTAGTTTCCTTTTTTTCTAAACCAGCCCTTCTTTCAGGGCATGACTCAAGCCCACTGGCTTCTTGCAATCTTCCCAACTAAATTGGGTGCTCTTCCTCTATGAAGGCCTACCTCCCTACCCCCCACAATTTTTCACTCATTATACCGGGTCTTGAATGGCTTCCCCAAATGTTTTATTCACATATGTCTTGTCTTCTAACAAGATATCAGGCTCCTTAGAGCAGGGACAGGGCCTTCTATTTCTTTTGTAAACTTAAGGTCTGGCCAGCTCTGGACACAGTGGACTAGATGGATAGCTGCTAGCTGGAAGAATACTGGTTCTGCTGGAAGTGTTTTCTTTCCTCTCTGCCCATGGAATCCTCTAAGCCATGGGCACTGACATGTTTTCAATATTGGCCTACTAGTGCTTCATGATTATAAATCCAACTGTGTGTGTGTGTTAAAGTGCAGACATTGTGGGAGATAGAAGTAGGGTACAATAACTTTGTATTGGTGACTTTCAGTGGAGAGATTCACACTTGAGAAATAATATCTGATTAATAAATGGAACCTGCAGACTGAGGATTTATTCTTCTTAGTTTTCTCTTATTCAGTCTTCATAATTGTCTGGTTTCACATTGTAGTTCTAATGGAATTAACTTTTAACAACTTAAATGCTATCCCTGATTCCACTGTCTTTCATTCTGCCCTCACATGGATCCAAGCCTTGGCAGGACCCACTCAGAGCAGATACGGTGATGACAGGATGGGCTTGGAGCCAGCTAGAGTGTGTTCCAGTCCCCCACAGCTCGAACTTCACTCCCTGGTGGAAGTCTTCCCCTACCTCTCCAAGTCAACTCTTCTTAGAGTGTGTTACGATGGCACCATATGCCTCCCATTCATCAGTCACAGCTGCATTGTAGTTCTGTTCCCTGAGTATTTGTTTACATTGTCTCTCCAACTAGACTGTGAGCCCCACAGTGGCAGGGATCACCTTGCTTTTACTCCCCATTTGTAGCCCCAGCACCTAGCACAGTCCCTGCACATAACAGACACTGGATAGATGTCATTGAGCAAATAAATGAATGAAAGATTGATTAAAGACAGGATCCCTACAATCAAGGTACCACAAATCCGATAGGGAGAGAATAACAAGAAAGATAAGAACTGTAATAGGAAGCACAGACGGCATAGTCATGGCAGTGACTAAAGCAATGGTTCCAGTACGCATCCAGAGAGGCTACCTTGAAGATGTGTTTGAACAGGATTTTAAAGAGAAGCAAGGATGAAAGACAAAAAATGAGGAGGCGGCCAACCATTACAGAGCAGCGAGAGATCACGTAGGCAAGGAGGGGCGGGGCAGATCCTTCAAAAAGCTCTGGGCAGGTAATGCTGGGGAGTTCGATACTGATCTTCTATGACTATCCCACTGCCCACTAAGGCCTCCTTCCGTCCCATGCCCACGCGTTTGCAGTGGATGGTCCTGCGGAACTGCTTCATTTCCTGATCAGGAGGCATAAGCAGATGTACAGCACTGAGCCCAAGAACCTGAAGGTGGGAAACTCTGTCCCCTACACAGGCTGATTTCACCACAAGACTGTGAGCATGCTGGCAGCTGACAGCAAAGGTGTCTTGGTGGTTGTGAAGTGGCCATCCGGCCAGCTAAAGCCATCCTCCTCCCATGTGTGAACCACCATCAACAAGAACGCCCCATCCACCCTCACCAGCATCAGGCATATGATCCGCAAGAACAAGTACCGCCAAGATCTGATCTGCCACCGCTGCCATCCCCACTGCTGGGGCTATCCCGCACAGCCAGAAGCCTGTGATGGTGAAGAGGAAGCAGACCCGCCCCACTAAGAGTTCCTGAGCCCCTGTCCCCACAAAAGCAATAAATAGTCAATTGATTTAAAAAAAAAATCACCACAAATGCACATCTAAGCACCACAACCAGCCTGACCCAAGGCTAAATGAGAAAACTAAGAACAAGGTAGTTTTCCATTAAGTTAAAATCTTGGCTTTGAAATGCTCCTCTATGGGGGGGATGCAAGATGAGGAACCTCATGCATTTCTGTCTTTCTCACCAGAAAGTTCTTGTGAGCTTTCCCTTTCCTCCATAAAGCCTTTTTCTCAACTCATGCCATGTAGCATTTTGGGGCGCCTCACAGAACAGGTAGCAGCCCAAAAGGGACTCACCTAACTTGAGAGAAGGTATCAAGTACCAAATATGGCTCAATTATTATCAGCTATATGGTCATAAACAATAGTCTGTTACTAACTGTGCCAGAAGCTCCCATTTGAGAACATGCTGTATTTGTCTTTCTGTGTCTGAGTTGTAAGTATTCTTTTGTATCAAGGTGATTTTCAGTTTCATTAGTTTATTTATTATGAAACTCCTAAAGTATATTAAATTCCAAATCTCAGGTCAATAATTTATCAATTCTTTTGCAAACAAATAGACAAACACCCCAAAGCACAATTTACTGAGTTAGCCTGTACTTATTGAGTCCACATTTTCTCTGATATTGTCACTATGACAAACAAAAGGAAGAGGATTCTGTAAATATAAGCTAGTTCTTGCTCAACC